TTATTATTGTGTATTATCATTTGTAATTACTATAATACTTTTAAGTTTAGATGGTATACACAAAATTAAACTATAGCAGGCAATTTTTGAGGCCATGTTAATTGTTTTTTTTGCTATTATTAATGTATTATTTTTAGGTGACTTCCAGCTATGTCTATTTAAAAGTGGTTTCCACCCTTTTTTTTAAGATGGCTTTTTAAAATATTTTTATGAAGAAATCAGATCTTTTATGTATCTTAAAAGAAATATCAGTATTTTTTCCCTGAATTTTTAGGAAATTATTTTAGTTGCTTACAAGCTAGCTTTTATTATTTCTAAATTTTTATTTATATTTGGAAATGACAAAACATGTCTACTTATTCTTCAAAGTTCAACTCTTGTTACAACTTTTCTAATGATGCCACTTTTTTTATTACTTAAGTTATCCCAACTGTATATATCTATATGTAGACAGAAATGTATATGCACATATATAGTTTCAAATATATAATAAAAATATTTAGTAAAATATGTACATATTATATATATTATATTTTAATTAACATTAGACATATCATAAAGAACCCCAGGTTTGAAGCCATTAGTAATGGTGGTGCCATGAACATTTTTGTATGTTCTTGATGGATATATATTTTATTTATATAGTTATTCAAATCACTGAATGTAAATATATGTATAAGTTCAGCTTCAACATTGAATGCCCAACACAAACAAAAAATCGGAAAACATAAAGAGAAAAGAGGTTTATCACATATAAGGACTACTCAATAAAAGAATTAACTGACTTCTCACCAGAAACTCTACAGATAAGAACCAGTAGGATAACATATTCAATGTACTAAAATAAAAAGACTCTTCCAAGATTTTTATATCTTGCAAAATTATTCTTCAAAATTAAAGAAGAAATTAAGATACTGCTAGATAAACAAAGCTATAGAATTGGTGTGTAGCCGAATTTCCTTAAAAGAAATACTAAAGTCTATGCTTCATGCTAAAATAAAAAGAAACAAGATAGTAACTTGAAACCAGAGAAAAAGATAAAGGATACTGAGGAAAGTAATTATGCAGTTAACATTAAAAGACAGTTTAGAATTATATTTGTAATATTTTTCTTCTAACATGTAGCTTTAATAGACAACTGCATATAGCAATAATTATAAAACTGTTGATGGGTTTATAATATATAAAGATGTAATCTATATGGTAATAATAGCTAAAAAGATGGGGGATGAAGACATATCGGAGCAAAGTTTTTGTATAATTTAAAGTTGAGTTAATTCAAACCAGTTTGTTTTATTAATATTTTAATTATAATTTCCAAGGCAACAACTATAAAAATAAATTTTAAAATTAAAATAAAATGGAAGAGTATTAAAATAATATACTAGAAAATATCTATTTAACAAAATATTTGGTAATGATGGAATTCAGTAATAAAAAGATTTTGGACATATCAAAAATAAATATCAATATGGCAGCTGAAAAATCCTGTCTCAGTAAATGCATTGATGTAAATGGAATAAGTAATCCAATTAAAAGAAAGAGACTGTCAGAGTGGTTTAAAAGTGATGCAACTATATGCTAACTATTAGAGACTTACTTTAGATTCAAAAGATAAATAGGGTGGAAAACATATCATACAAACAGTAACAAAATGTTATACTAATCTTGAATAAAGTAGACTTCCAGATAAAAATTGTTTCTTGGAGATGTTATTTAATACCAATGACTGAATTGATCTTGAAGACATAAAAATTAAAATGAAGGGCCAGGCGCAGTGGCTCAAGCCTGTAATCCCAGCACTTTGGGAGGCCGAGGTGGGTGGATCATGAGGTCAAGAGATCGAGACCATCCTGGTCAACATGGTGAAACCCTGTCTCTACTAAAAATACAAAAAATTAGCTGGATATGGTGGCTCATGCCTGTAATCCCAGCTACTCAGGAGGCTGAGGCAGGAGAATTGCCTGAAGCCAGGAGCGGAGGTTGCAGTGAGCCGAGAAAGTGCCATTGCACTCCAGCCTGGGTAACAAGAGCGAAACTCCGTCTCAAAAAAAAAAAAAAAAAAAAAATTAAAATGAAATACGTACCTAATGAAAGGCTCAATTGTTTTGAAGAACAGCTGACAGAATTTAAGAGTGTAAAATTTATCAACAATACTAAGAGAACTCAATACTTCACTTTGTGAAAAGTGTAGACAAAACAGAAGGTCATTAGAAAAAAAAATTAAAAACTGAAGAAATATAAGAAGTAAGTGATGCTAACAGACATGTATGCAATAATCTTCCCAACAACTACAGAATACACATTATTCTCAGGAGCACATAGAATATTATCTAGGACAACCTTACGTTAGTCTTTGAAATAAACGGCAATAAAATTTGAGTTGAAATTATATAGAACTAATCAATAATTAAAATGAAAAAACAGAAGGAAGGAAATTAAAGTTTGAAGATAAAACATCCTTTTATTTGTAGATGAGCGTTTAGGTTGATTTCATATCTTACCTATTGTGAATACAGTTGTAATAAACACGACATTGCAGATGTCTTTTTTACATATTGATTTTAATTCCTTTGGATATTGATATGGGTGGCTCTGTGTCCCCACCCAAATCTTATCTTGAATTGTAGTGCGCATTATCCTCCCATGTTATGGGAAGGACCTGTTGGGAGGTAATTGAATCGTGGAGGCAGTTTCTGTCATGCTGTTCTGGTGATAGTGAGTGAGTTCTCATGAGATCTGAGAGTTTTATAAGGAGCTTTTTCTGCTTTGCTTGGCACTTCTCTCTCCTGCTGCCATGTGAAGAAGGACATTTTTACTTTTCCTTCCCACCGTGACTGTAAGTGTCCTGAGGCCTCTCCAGTCATGTGAAACTGTGAGTCAGTTAAACCTCTTTTCTTTATAAATTACCCAGTCTCACGTATGTTATTATAGCAGTGTGGACTAATACAGTAAGTCGGTACCATAGAGAGTAGGGTGCTGATAATAGTTTGGAAGGCTCAGAAGAAGACAGAAAAATGTGGGAAAGTATAAAACTTCCAAGAGACTTGAAGGGCTCACAAGACAAGAAAATATTGGAAAGTTTGAAACTTTCTAGAGACTTGTTTAATGGCTTTGACCAAAATGCTCAACACTATATAGACAATGAAGTACAGGCTGAGGGAATCTCAGATAGGGATTAGGAACTTCTTGGTAACTGGAGCAAAGGCGACTATTGATATGATTTAGCAAAAAGACTGGAAGCATTTTGCCCCTGCTCTAGAAATCTGTAGAATGTTGAACTTGAGAGAGATAATATAGGGTATCTGGCAGAATATATTTTTAAGCAGCAAATAGTTCAAGAAAAAGCAGGGCATGAAAGTTTGGAAAATTTGCATCCTGATGATACAATTAAAAAAAAAAAACATTTTATTGGGAGAAATTTGAGTCTGCTCAAATTTGCATAATGACAAAGAGCCAAATGTTAATTACCTGCTCAAATTTGCATAAATGACAAAGAGCCAAATGTTAATTACCAACGCAGTGGGTAAAATGTCTCCAGGGCATGTCACAGAATTCATGACAGCATTTCCAGTACAGGCCCAGAGGCCTAGCAGGAATAATTGGTTTCATGGTCAGGCCCATGGCCTTTCTGCTGTGTACAGCCTCAAGCCTTAATATCTTCAGCCGAGACACTCCAGCTGTCTCTAAAAGGGGCCAAGGTATAGTTCAAATCCTGTCTTCAGAAGGTGCAATCCCCAAGCCTTGGCAGCTTCCATGTGATGTTGAGTCCACAGGTGCACAGAAGTCAAGAATAGAGGTTTAAGAACCTCTGTCTAGATTTCAGAGGATATATAGAAACACTGGGATGTCCAGGCCAAAGTTTGCCATGGGAGTGGAGCCCATATAGATAACTTTTTCTAGGGTAGTGCAGAAGGGAAATGTGGGGCTGGAGCCTCAACACAGAGTCTTCACTGGGGTACTGCCTAGTGGAGCTATGATAAAAGGGCCATGGTCCTCCAGACCCCAGAAAGGTAGATACACCAGTGGCTTGCAAGCTGCACCTGGAAAAGTTGAAGACAGTCAATAATAGTCTGTGACAATAGCCATGATGTGGGGCTGTACCCTGCAAGCCACAGGGTTAATGCTGCATGAGTAATTAGGAGCCCACCTCTTGCATCATTATGACCTGAATGTGAGACATGGAATCAAGGGAGATTATTTTAGTGCTTTAATATTAAGTTACTGCCTTACTGGATTTCAGACTTGCACAGAGCCTGAACCCCTTTGTTTTGGTAAATTTATCTTCTTTGGAATGGGTATATTTACCCACTTCCTGTACCTCCATTGTATCTAGGAAGTAACTAACTAGCTTTTGATTTTATAGACTCATAGGCAGAAGGGTCTTGTCTCATGTGAGACTTTGGACTTTGACTTTTGATTTAATCCTGAAATGAGTTAAGACTTTGGGAAACTGTTGAAAAGACATAATTGTGATTTGAAATGTGAGGACTTGAGTTTTGGGAAGGGCCAAGATCAGAATAATATGTCATGTTTTGTGGCCCCAACCAAATCTCATCTTGTAGTTCTCATAATCCCCATGTGTCATGGGAGAGACCTGGTGGGAGGTAATTGAATCATGGAGGCACTTTCCACCATGCTGTTCTCATGATAGTGAATAAGTTCTCATGAAATCTGATGGTTTTTTAAGAGGCTTTTCCTCTCTTTGCTCTACACTATTATTTCTTGCTGTCTTGTAAAGAAATATGTGTCTCCTTTCCCTTCCACCATAATTGTAAGGGTCCTGAGGCCTCTCCAGTAATGTGAAACTGTAAGTCAATAAACCTCTTTCCTTTATAAATTACCCAGTCTTGGGTATGTCCTTATGGAGGCATGAGATTGGACTAATACATATTTGTGCTCAGTAATGGGGTTTCTTTTTTATATGGTACTTCTATGTTTCATTTTTGTGGAATATGCATGCTGTTTTCTATAATGGCTATAATAATTTTCATTTTCAGGAGACCGACTCAAGATGGCGTGGTGAGAACAACCCAGGATTGAAGCTCTCGGTGAATGCGCGAAGGGTGAGTCAGGGCCGCATTTCCAGACATATCTTTGTTGCCCACAGAACGGGGAAATTCCCAGGTATAAAAGAGACATGGGATGCCAGCGAAGTGGTTTTGGCTGGTGCAGCCGGTGACCAGTGCAGCCGGCGGCCGGCGCTGTAGCACAGCAGCACTCCACAGTGCTCTGCACAAAGTGCAGTGGTCTGGGTGCCCTGTTGAACCGGCAATCTGAGACTTGAGAGAGCAGATTGGCATATCCATCTGATTGAATGGGACTTGGACAGTGAGCCAGGTTAGGAGATTCCAGGGAAATGGTGTTTGGGCCAGGGCAGTGGGACAAACAAAACGGTGATTCCAACCACTCCGGGTGGAGAGTTTCACTGTGGGCACAGCTGAACCCAGGATGGTGCAGCTCGGGGGGGAGGGGTGTTTGCCATTACCACGGCATCCCAACCGTACTGAGATACACTCCCATTGCTGATGCAGCCTGCCGTTGCCGAGGCAACCCGCCACAACAGAGAGACTATGCCGCAGGGCATAGCCCGTGGCAGCAGGGCAGAGACCGCAGCAGCAGGGCAGAGCCTGCAGCAACAGGGCGGACCTGACACCAGCAGGGCAGAGCCTCGGCAGGCAAATAGTGACTAGACTGCCCCCTAGCTGGGCAGGACAGTGCAATGGACACATAAAGAAAACCCCAACCACCTGAGACAGAGCATCTGAGAAAAAAAGAGTTTTTTTATGATTTCTGCTGCAGCAGAATTAAATGTAGCAGTCTAACAGCCCTGAATGAACAACACAGCTCACAGATCAGCACTTGAGCTCCTATAAAGTACAGACTGTCTCCTCAAGCAGCTCCCTGACCCCTCTATATCCAGAAGACTGACATTTGGCAGGCATCATTCTGGGACAAAGACAGCAGAAAAAGAAACTGGTAGCATCCCTCACTGTGCCACAGATGCTATAGGTGCACCCCAGACAAGCAGGGCCTGGAGTGGACCTCAGCAGTAGTACAGTGGAGGGGCTAGACTTGTAGAAGGAAAACCAAGTAACAGAAATACTTCATCATCAACAATCTGGGCATCCACTCGGATACCCAATTGAAAAGTCAGCAACTACTAAGATGACAGGTGGATAAATCCACAAAGATGGGAAGAAACCAGCGCAAATAGGAGTAAAACACCCGAAACGAGAACACCACGACTCCTACAAAGGACCAAAACTCCTCACCAGCAAGGGAATAAAGCTGGATGGAGAATGACTGTGACAAAATGACAGAATTAGACTTCAGAAGGTGGATAATGAGAAACTTTTGTGAACTAAAAGAACATGTTTTAAATCAATGCAAAGAAACTAAGAACCTTGAAAAAAGAATTGAAAAAAGATTAGAGGAATTGATAACAAGAATGGATAACTTAGAGAGGAATATAAATGAATTGAAGGAGCTGAAAAACACAATACGAGAAATTCACGAAGCATGCACCAGTTTCAACAGCCGAATTGACCAAGCAGAAGAAAGAATATCAGAAGTTGAAGATCAACTCAATGAAATAAAACGAGAAACCAAGATTAGAGAAAAAGGCACAAAAAGGAATGAACAAAGTCTTCAAGAAATGTAGGACTATGAGAAGACACCTAACCTATGTTTGATAGGTGTACCAGAATGTGATGAAGAGAATGAATCCAAGCTGGAAATACTCTTCAGGATATTATCCAGGAAAATTTCCCCCACCTAGCAAGGCAGGCCAACACTCAAATGCAGGAAATACAGAGAACACCACAAAGATATTCCACAAGAAGAGCAACCCCAAGGCACATAATCGTCAGATTCACCAGGGTTGAAATAAAGGCGAAAATACTAAGGGCAGCCAGAGAAAAAAGTCGGGTCACCCACAAAGGGAAGCCCATCAGACTCACAGCAGATCTCTCGGCAGAAACCCTACAAGCCAGAAGAGACTGGGTGCCAATATTCAACATCTTTAAAGAAAAGTACTTTCAACCCAGAATTTCATATCCAGCCAAACTGAGCTTCATAAGTGAAGGAAAAATAAAATCCTTTGCGAACAAGCAAGGACTCAGAGATTTTGCCACCACAAGGCCTGCTTTACAAGAGCTTCTGAAAGAGGCACTACACATAGAAAGGAACAACCATTACCAGCCATTCCAAAATCACACTAAACGCTAAAGAGCATCAACATAATGAAGGATCTACATCAATTAATGGACAAAACAGCCAGCTAGTATCAAAATGGCAGTATCAAATTCACACATAACAATATTAACCCTAAATGTAAATGGACTAAAGGCAACAATCAAAAGACACAGACTGGCAAATTGGATAAAAAACCAAAACCCATCAGTGTGCTGTATCCAGGAAACCCATCTCACATGCAAGGATACACAAAGGCTCAAAATAAAGGGATGGAGGAAGATTTACCAAGGAAATGGAGAGCAAAAAAAAGCAGGAGTTGCAATTCTAATCTCTGATAAAATAGACTTTAAAGCAACAAAGATCAAAAGAGACAAAGAAGGCCATTACATACTGGTAAAAGGTTCGATACAACAAGAAGAGCTAACAATCCTAAACATATATGAACCCAATACAGGAGCACCCAGATATGTAAGGCAAGTTCTTAAGGACTCACAAAGAGACTTAGACTCCCACACAATAATAGTGGCAGACTTTAACACTCCACTGTCAATAATAGACAGATCAACCAGACAGAAAACAAGGATATCCAGGGCTTGAACTCAGGCCTGGAAGAAGCAAACTTGATAGACATTTGCAGAACTCTCCACCCCAAATCCACAGAATATACATTCTTCTCAGCACCACATCACACCTACTCTAAAATTGACCACATGATTGGAAGTAAAGCACTCCTCAGCAAATGCAAAACAACGGAAATCATAACAAACAGCCTCTCAGACCATAGTGCAATCAAGTCAGAACTCAGAATACAGCAACCAACCCAGAACCTCACAGCTTCATGGAAACTGAACAACTGGCTCTTGAATTTTGACTGGATAAACAATGAAATGAAGGCAGAAATAAAGAAATTCTTCGAAACCAGTGAGAATGAAGACACAACATGCCAGAATATCTGGGACACATTTAAAGCAGTCTCTAGAGGAAAATTTATAGCAATAAGTGCCCATATGAATGGAGAGATCCAAAATTGACACCCTATCTTCAAAATTGAAAGAGCTGGAGGAGTAAGGTCAAAAAAACTCAAAACCTAGCAGAAGACAAGAAATAACTAAGATCAGAGCTGAACTGAAGGAGATTGAGACACGAAAAACCCTTCAAAAAATCAATAAATCTAAGAGCTGGTTTTTTGAAAAGATCCACAAAATAAACAAACCACTAGCCAGATTGATAAAGAAGAAAAGGGAGAACAACCAAATAGATGCAATAAAAAATGATAAAGGGGAAATCACCACAGATTCCACAGAAATTCAAACCATCATCAGAATATTACAAACAACTCTATGCACATAAACTAGTAAACCTGGAATAAATGGATAAATTTCCGTACTCCTGTGTCCTCCCAAGCCTAAACCAGGAGGAAGCTGAAACAATGAATAGACCAATAACAAGGTCAGAAGTCGAGGCAGCAATTAAGAGCCTACCACACAAAAAATGCCCAGGTCCAGATGGGTTCACAGCCAAATTCTACCAGACACACAAAGAGGAGCTGGTACCATTCTTTCTGAAACTATTCCAAATAATCCAAAGAGAGGGAATTGTTCCCAAATGATTTTATGAGACGAACATCATCCTGCTACCAAAACCCGGCAGACACCCAACAAGAAAAGAAAATTTCAGGCCAATATCCATGATGAACATAGACGCAAAATCTTCAATAATATATTGGCAAGCTGATTGCAACAGCAAATCAAAAATCTTATCCATCATGATCAAGTAGGATTCATCCCGGGGATGAAGGCTGGTTCAACATAACCAGCAAGTCTATAAACGTAATTCACCACATAAACAGAACCAAAAACAAACACCACATGATTATCTCAATTGACGCAGAGAAGGCATTCGACAAAATTCAACAGCCGTTTATGCTAAAAACCCTCAATAAACTCGGTACCAATGGAATGTATCTCAAAGTAATAAATGCTATTTATGACAAACCAACAGCCAATATCATACTTAATGGGCAAAAACTGGAAGCATTCCCTTTTAAATCCAGCACTAGGCAAGGATGCCCTCTTTCACCATTCCTATTCAATATAGTACTGGAAGTTCTAGCCAGAGCAATCAGGCAAGAAAAAGAAATAAAGGGCATTGAAATAGGAAAGGTGGAAGCCAAATTGTCTCTATTTGCAGACGACATGATAGTATACCTAGAAGACCCCATCGCCTCAGCTCAAAAACTCCTGAAACTGATAAGCAACTTCAGCAAAGTCTCGGGATATAAAATCAATGTGCAAAAATCACAAGCATTCCTCTACACCAATAACAGACTTAAAGAGAGCCAAATCAAGAACGAACTGCCATTCACAATTGCTACAAAAAGAATAAAATTCCTAGGAATACAACTCACAAGGAACTTAAGGGACCTCTTCAAGGAAAACTACAAACCACTGCTCAACGAAATCAGAGAGGACACAAACAGATGGAGAAACATTCCATGTTCATGGTTAGGAAGAATTAATAACGTGAAAATGGCTATACTGCCCAAAGTAATTTACAGAATCAATGCTCTCCCCATCAAGCTACCATTGACTTTCTTCACAGAACTGGAAAAAACCACCATGAATTTCATATGGAACCAAAAGAGAGCCTGCATAGCCAAGTCAATTCTAAGCAAAAAGAACACAGCGGGGGGCATCACACTACCGGATTTCAAAGTATACTGCAAGGCTACAGTAATCAAAACAGTATGGTACTGGTACCAAAACAGAGATATAGACCAATGGAACAAAACAGAGGCATCAGAGGCAACACAACATACCTACAACCATACAATCTTTGATAAACCTGACAAAAACAAGCAATGGGGAAAGGATTCCCTGTTTAATAAATGGTGTTGGGAAAACTGGCTAGCCATGTGCAGAAAGCAGAAACTGGACCCATTCCTGACACCTTACACTAAAATTAACTCCAGATGGATTAAAGACTTAAACATATGACCTGGCACCATAAAAACCCTAGAAAAAAATCTAGGCAAAACCATCCAGGACATAGGAGTAGGCAAGGACTTCATGAACAAAACACCAAAAGCATTGGCAACAAAAGCCAAAATAGACAAATGGGACCTAATGAAACTCCACAGCTTCTGCACGGCAAAAGAAACAGTCACTAGAGTGAATCGGCAACCACAGAATGGGAAAAAATTTTTGCAGTTTACCCATCTGACAAAGAACTCAAACAGATTTACAGGAAAAAAACAAGCCCAAATGGGCAAAGGATATGAACAGACACTTTACAAGAGAAGACATATATGAGGCCAACAATCATATGAAAAAATGCTCATCATCACTGGTCATTAGAGAGATGCAAATCAAAACCACATTGAGATACCATCTCACGCCAGT